GAGCAGGGAGCCTGATGCGGGGCTCGACCCCAGGACCCTGGGATCATGACCTGAGCCGAAGGCAGACGCTTAACGACTGAGCCACCCAGGCGCCCCAAGAAACATGAAAATTGTAAAATGGACCGTATTCTGGGGGAATATAAATATAAATTATAAATATAAATTAAATTACTATGATTGAGTCAAGAATTAAAAAACTAGACTTGAGAAGTTAATCAAAAGTTACCTTAAAAATAAAAAGTTACCTACCAAATGTGACTCCGGACCTAGATGTTTTTAGAGTTAAATGCTTTCAAAATTTTAAGCAATTTCTATTATATAATCTGTTCCAGAACATAAAAAAAAATAAGAAAATTAACAGTTCATTATATGAGTAGAAAAACTGATATCTACACTTCACAGAAATAGCATACAAAAGGGAAATATACAGATCCAGCATGTGAATTTAGGTGCAGAAATACCAAATGAATGTAAGCAACCGATTAACTTTACCTTTAGTAGGTCGTTTGTTGAGTTGGAGGGCCATTCTCTGCTCCAGGGCAAAACCTCCATGTTGGATAAAGCAAAGAGCAGAATATCCAGAGAAATATGAATTTGTAGCCTTGCTTCGTTGTAAATGAACTCTTATTTGTAAAGTATTGTATAAATGCAGAAGTAAGTTCAGTTCAGTCTGAGTTAGAGGGTTATTATTTTTTTTAAGTAATCTCTACACTCAACATGGGGCTCGAACTCGGGACCACGAGATCAAGAGTTGCATGCTCCACGGACAAGCCAGCCAGGGGCCCTGAGAGTTAATGTGCTAAGGGCTTTGGTAAATACAGACCATTAATTACTTCACAAACTTCAGCAATGGTAATTATCAGGCTTACATGTTGTTGTTGAGAGCATGGATACTTGAATGTGACATTCTCCAGACAAGGGGTAGGAGCTAGTAGTAGGCTATGACCTAAATGACTTTATTTTGGTTGTGGTTGTTACGAAGTTTTGCCCAGAAGGATGTTCATGAACAGACAAAAATGGTGAATGGCACTGGCCATTGAAATGATTGCTCTACCAGATTTTCTATAGCTACCCTTTTATTGATAACACTTGTTCTTGCTTGAAACAAAAGTCATCATTTTAAGTGGTTATCCTTCATTGTTGTTTTTCAGGTTCATTTGTTTCTGATCATTCATTATTTGCCTTTCTTGGGAAGGGGAAACTCAGTGAGGATGGGAGGGCTCGCTGGGGTATCTCAATAGTTTTTACATGGAAGAGAGACTCTTAAACAGGGTTATTATAAAAGGTTATATGATGGAAGGTTGAGCTAGCTTGGTGTTTGGTGTTTTTCATACTTTAGATGTAAATATACGCATATATGATAAAGGTAACGTTTTTATGTAGAACTCACATTTCCTGTATACATCTATGTGCCAGACTCTGTTCTAAGTGCTTTATTTATTTATTTTTTAAAGATTTTATTTACTTATTTGACACAGAGAGAAAGACAGCGAGAGAGGGAACACAAGCAGGGGGAGAGGGAGAGGGAGAGGGAGAAGCAGGCCTC